GCGCTATGCTTTGCTAGGTAGAGATTATTTTAAGGCAATGTGTTAGAATCTGGAATATGTTGAAGGCATGGGTTGCAGAAACAGAGACAGTAGTAGATTTCAAAAAAGGAATGTGTGAGATAAGCAAAACAATTACAGGACAATGGTGAGAGAGCGGCAGAGTTGGACTGATTGGATAACCGTTTTGAACAACCAATATAGGCGCAACGGGTGAAAATCCACTCTGAGCTGTATGATTGTGTGCACACTGCAGTAGCAGGTGGTGCAGTCAAATAGGTGATTCATTGCTACTTCCAAGAAGAACAGTGCACCTCATGATGCTGTACCCATGCAATGCATTTTTTGCTGTTTTTAATTGTCAATTTCAGAGTAAAGACTTGAAGCATGCACTAATATTTCATTAAATATTTAAAATCTATTTTGACAATTAAGTTAACTGCCCATTGCAATAGATTAAAGATGGACCTTGTCTATAATCAGTCTGACAAAAACTGCTGCGATATGAATTAATCCTTTTAAAGTAAACTACCCTGTAAGGTATATTTAATGCAGATTAAGGTCAAGGACCAACGTGGGTAACAATATTGTTGGTCTGCCACCAAACTTGTTGTCTCATCAAGCAAGTATCTAATTTTTTGTCCAGTTTTTTCTGGGTATGAAATAAGAAAAAAATCTCCTCACATAGATTAGTGTTGTAATTAGCAGCTGATCCTGAAATAGGAGATATGGCCAAACACGAAAGGGGTGTTTGCGACATTTTCAGAGGGGATTAGGAATGGCTTAAAAAGTGGCAACCAACAGATGTCGGTTGGAATGAGGTGATAGATTTTGGCTTAAAAATTGAAAGTAGTAATTGGGAGATAGTGGTGTAGTGGGAAAATCACTGGATCAGTCAGCGAGGTAACCAAGCTAATTCTCTGGGGACATGGGTTCACGTTCCGTTATGGTATTTGGTGAAATTTATATTCCATTTAAATTTAATCAGAAGTATCAAGCTAGTGACCATGATAAATGTCATCAGTTGTAAAAATCCATCTGGTTTATGAATGTTATTTAGGGAGAAGAGCTGAATATTATTTAATTTGATAAAGACACTAGAAAGCTGCATCACAGAGATTTTGGGGTCCTCTTATCCAAGTCAAAATAAGCTAGCATGCAAGTTCACTGTATATCAGAGAAGGCATTTGGACTGTTGGCCTTTATTTCATAGGGGGATTGGGACGCAAAAATAGTGAGGTCTTGTTAACACTATATAAGACACTAGTTTGACCTTACTTAAAATACTGCGAACATATTCAGTACTGTTATCTAAAGAGCAATATGGTGGCTTTGGAATGATTCCAGAGAAGCTTCACTAGGTCGATTCCAGATAAGGAGGGATTTTAAGATGAGATTGAGTAGGCTGGGCCTGTACTTATTGGAGTTGAGAAGAATGGGGGAAGAAAACCTTCTTGAAACTTACAAGATACACCATGAACTTGCATGGAGGCTGACGTTTCGGGCCTAGACCCTTCATCAGAAAAAGCCTCTTCTAAGGATGCCTAGCCTGAAGAAGTTACCCTCCTCCCTCCGGGCTTTTTCTGATGAAGGGTCTAGGCCCGAAACGTCAGCCTCTCTGCTCCTATGATGCTGCTTGGCCTGCTGTGTTCATCCAGTCCTGCACCTTGTTGTCTCGGATTCTCCAGCATCTGCAGTTCCTACTACCCATGAACTTGCATGCTGGCTTATTGTGACATTGATAAGAGGACACCAAAATGCCTTTGTGCTGCAGCTTTCTGCTGTCTTTCTCAATTTGCTCTGGCAAAAAGACCTTGATTATTCACTCTATTCATGCCCCCATGATTTTATAAACTACTTTGAGGGGTGACCCTAGAAGTTCATAAAATAACGAGGGGCACGGATCGGGTAAATAGCCAAGGTCTTTTCTAGGACCATGAGGGCATAATATCAAAGTAAGTGGGCATCCTTTTAATACAGTTGAGGAGTAATATCTTCTGAGGGTAATGAATCTGTGGAATTCTTTATCGCAGGTTGAGGATGGGCCATTAAGCATATTCAAAGTTGCAGTAGATTTTAATCAGTATGGGAATAAAGGGTTCTGGGGAAGTGGCAGGAAAGTAGAATTGAGGATTAGCAGATCAACCATGATCTCATTGAATGGTGGAGAAGATTTAATGGGTTAAATAACCTACTTCTGCTCCGACATCCTGTGGCCTTATGGATGAAAATTTGCCATTCTTAGCTAGTCTGGCCTATATATGACTCCAGAACTGCAGTGTGGTTGAATTTTAACTGCCCTCAAACAGCCCAGCAAGGCACTCAGTACATGAGTTGTTTGGAATGAGCAACACCGTTGGGCTTGCCAGCAACACCCACATGAATGATAAATGAAAATCTCTTGGAATGCAAGTAAGCTCAGTGATGAGGAATTTGTGTACACAGCTTGATAGAACATTAAAGAGAGGACTGGGTTGATATGGTAGTATTATATTGGAATCAATTCTAGGTTTTATTAAAGATGTTTAAAATAAAACTGAAACCACACAAATTAATGATAGCTTCTTGGTTGGATTGTGTGAACTTTTTGTTCTTCAGATCTATTTGGACTGTTAACCTGTTCTGCTATGAAGTGATCCCATAACTGATCTGCATCCTGACTCCACATCCCTTAATATCTCTGGCTCATTAGACAGTTGATCTCCGATTTAAACTTATTAATTGACTTTGCTGTCATCCTTTTTTTAATCTTGTTTTTATTTCTGCCAGAGCCCTTCCCCTCTGTTTTGTTGATTTAAAATTCTTTCTAGAGCCCTATTTAGCCTTTCAGCTTTGAACTGTCTCCCTGCCTGGCTTAGGTGACGTGCAATCAGAAGTACAGCTTACTCCTACCCAATACAGTTATCAAGATCCTATCACATGCAACCACTTTCCTGTTCAGTATCTTTGCCACATGTCAGCTTTCCAAATGTATTTTGTCCCTGTGTCAATTTGTTTGTGGCTCAAATATTAGAGAGGATATTGAGCTTACACAGAATCTGTCAATTGTTATGGCACAGAGGAGGCCACTCAGCCCAATGTGCCTGTACCAGGCTGTTAAATGAGCATCATTGCACGGTGCCAATTTCCTGCTTTTTCCCCACATAATGTTTCACACTACTCTATCCAAATAATCATCCAACAACCTCTTAAATGCCTCAATTGAATCTGCCTCCAACACACTTCCAGGCAATGCGTTCCATATCTTAACTACTCTGAGTGAAAACATTTTTTTCTCCCATTACCCTCGCTTAATTTGTAAATCACTTCAAATCTGTGCTCTTTCATTCTTGTTTCTTTTACTACCAGGAACAGTTTCTTCCTATCTTTTCCATCTAGATTTCCCTCATGATTTTGAAATCCTTTATCAAATCTCTTCTCAGCCTTCATCCTTTCCAGGAGAATAGTCCCAATGTCTTCAATCTAACCTCATAATTGAAGTTACTCATTCTTGGAACCGTTCTTGTACATCACTTCTGCACTCTCTCCAGTGCATTCACATCTTTCCTATAATGTGGCACCCACAACTATACACAATACACCAGCTGACATTTAAGGATGCTCTGTTATTAATGCAAGGGCTGAGGGTCGTCGTTGTCATCACCACCACCTTCAGGTGCAGTTGTGGTTGCAGGGTTAGGACGAAAAATCGTTAATCCAGAAGTGGATGGCTATGGTTCATTGTCTTCTGACTGTTTTTTCACCTAAATGTTCCCTCGCTGACACTTGATCCACTTGGCCTCCCTCATTTTCAAGGATTATGCCCAACAATGCAGCCTTTCTTTTTGGATTGGACACACATCATTTTAGGAATTCTCCTGAATACAATTTAGGAGCACTTTCCCCTCACTGGCTATAACACTACCAGTAAACCAGTAAAAGTGCTGGCAATCTCATTGAGTCAGGCAGCAAACTACTGTTTTGAGTCTGGATGACTCGAGTTCAGATCAGTAAAATGGAATGATTTGTTCCATTGAGAGCTGACATAGAGTAAGCCAGTTTACGTTTGGGTAAGTGAATTCCCCCATTATAACTGGAAATACCAGTAAAATTCTCAAGAACTAGTAAAAGAATACAACGGTTTTGCTAGAATGCTTTCTAGTATGCAATATTAGCACAACAAACGGTGAGGAGGAGGAACTGGGGCTTTTTTTGTAACATTGTTATGTTACTTCCATAATTTGCAGAAGCATTGTTTTACATTTCGAAGTGGATGGGGCAAGACGCTGATGAGTGTATTTCCCTGCAGTGGAGGTGTTCAGAATGTGGGACCAGAGGTGAAGAGAGGGTGAAATACATCTTGTAACATTAGGAGTTGTGAGCTTGTGAAATTCTGAAATTATTGGATGAGGTACCGACTGTATTAGCATTGCAGGTTAAGTTAGTGGTTAGATGAATAAAGGAAGGAAAAAGGAATATGTGAAGAGGGTGGATAATGTCATTTGCTTGAAAGCACACAGCATCACAAACTTTCTTGAGCCAAGTGTGTGTATTATAGTAGTAGTTGTATATTAGTCAACGTAAAACTTCTGGCTGTTTGATTTTTCTACCTTCTTGCCTATAACTGATCTTTGAAGAAATCAAAAAGTTGCCAACGATTCCTACTTGTTCCCATTGTATGACTCTTCAAAGCGAAGCATCCGATATTTAAGAAAAACTTCTATGTATATTGTAGCTGCCAAGCATATTTCAAAATGAATTGAATTTTGTTTTCAGAAGATTCCTGGTTGTGTGGAATTATTTCATATTGAGGAATTTGTTTGGCAGTACTTGACGCAGAAATAATTGTAGCAAGTTTGAATGCTGGGGGGGCATTACCATAGTTTTGCCATTTTTTACTTTACAGGACATGTTCTTTCAGAGTTGTTTCTGCCACTTTCAGGGAAAATTTAAAAAGTAATGTTACTGTACTGTCCTGACTTTATGGAGAATCTAAATGCTGTGTGTTGGTCTTTGTTTCTTAGAAATCGCAGCCGAACGGGCGAGCGGGAACTGAACCATTAGACGAGGAAATTCTTCATCCATTTGAAAAGCTAATTGTCAAACAACATCTGGACACAGAGAAGAAAACGGAAAAGGTTTGTTTACGTGTGTGTGTCAAAAATTTTAATTTTTAACGTATGATGTTCGTGCAAGCGTTTGTGCTAAACCAGCTACTTCAAATCCGTAATTGTGAGTGATGCTTTATACTACACCAACTTGTATTCCATCCGTTTTATTAAAAATAATTCCAGGGCATTTCAAAGATGTATTCAAAAAGTAGTTAGTGGAGCAAGATGGGTGGGATTCATTTCAGCTGCTTTAAGTATTTGGAAATAACTAAATGGGTGAGGGTGGATGAATCCTTACATCCAGTAATAAAAACAAATCACAGTGGTTCAAAAGGATGGCCCACCACAATCTTGGGCAGCAAGTATTGATAAAATACAGGCTTTGCTCATTACTCAAAGATGTGTTCAAAGCACAACAGGGTTGAAGTTACAGTTTTACATTCAAATTGATGTCAGTTGACATTCATTTTAAAATATTTTGTTTATGCTTTACAGCATAATTCAAATGTGATAGTGAAATGTGGTTGATGGTTTAAGAACATAAGAAATAGGAGCGGGAGGAGAACACAGTTATGTTTTCGGTGAAAGTGCAACTTGGGCAAAAGTTGTGAGAGAAGGGTCAAGAAGGACTTTTTAATGCAGCAAATGGTAATGAACTGCGACAGCTGCCTGTTCAGGATGGGGGAGGCAATGATTTTTCAAAAGTAAATCAGATAGGCACTTGGGTGAAATAAACTTTCAAAGCTCAATGCGTAGAACAGAGAAATGGAACGTAGGAGCAAATCACTGCCGATGCTGGAACCTGAACTGAAAACAGAAAAATGCTGGCAATCTCATTGAGTCAGGCAGCAAACTACTGTTTTGCGTCTGGATGACTCTTGTTCAGATCAGTAAAATGGAATGATTTGTTCCATCGAGAGCTGACATAGAGTCAGTGAGCTGAATATCCTCGTTCTCTGCTGTAAATGCTTTCAAACTCTAAATGCACTTTAAAACCATCTACTGTAATTTAAAATCTGTTGGCGATGTCAATTTAAATACCTGAGAAAATATGAACTATAAATATGATAGTCTAATGTTAGTGTGAAGCTTTTATCAATTTATAGCTAGGACTAACATTTAGTTGAAACCTGAAAACTTGCAGCAGAGATTATACTTGTTGCTTTTAAATATGGGAAGCTCATTTTTGAGGTAGATATTCAGATAGTGGGGGTTCCATCCAGGTGTACCTGAGATAGTAGGAACTGCAGATGCTAGAGAATCTGAGATAACAAGGTGTAGAGCTGGATGAACACAGCAGGCCAAGCAGCATCAGAGGAGCAGGAAAGCTGACGTTTTGGGCCTAGACCCTTTACCTGGCCCATTTTTTTTAAGGCAGTGGGCAACTTTCAGTTTTACACAATGCTGCAGAGTTACTCCAGTGAAGTTGCAATAATTAAAAATCTTTCCAGAGCAAATTGGCCACACAAACTGCCACGGCTTAAGCAAGTCCAACCTTTCACATTTTTTTCCTGATTTGTGCTTTTCTCCCTCAGGCGACTTCCTCAAACGTTAGACTTTGTAGATGTGTTAAATCCATTGCTTCACCTCCCTCAGAAGGAGCAGGCTGGCCTCGGGCACTCTAGATAACAGCCAAATTTTGTTTGCTTCCTCCTGCAACCTTCCTGATATCGTCCAACCTCATTAGGAAACTTTTAATTGTCAATGGGCAAGAATCCAAGTGCAGAACTTCCTTGTACTTCAAATAGATTTATGAGCCTTTTTGTAGAAAAAATAGGGCTACAGTTCCTTTTAAACAGAAAGGTCCGTATAAAAAATTTGTAAACTTGATTCTTTCAGGCGACGTGGGCATTGCTGGCGAGGCCCATTCTGTTGCGTAAATGTCTTTGAACTGAATTGCTTGTTAGGCCTTTTCAGAGTGGTTTAAAGTAACCACATTCCTGTGGGTGTAGAATCATAGTTATATTATTCAGCCATGATGCATGTCCAGGGCTGGAGGGACCTGAACCTGTACTTCCTGGGCCAGAGATAGGGGTGCAAACACTGTGCCAGAAGAGCCCTGTGGTCTGGAGTCACACATAGGCCGGACCAGGTAAGGACAGTGAATTTCTTTTGGCGGAGGACATTCGTGAACTAAATGGATTCTCATGGCCATCAGTATTAGTTTAATGGTAACCATTAGTAAGGCTAGCCTTCAATTTGACTTGTAATAATTGAATTTAAATTCAGCAGTCGTTTTAGTGAGATCTAAACCTATGAAACCAGAGCATTAGCTTGAGCCTCTGGTTTATTTTGCGGTACTTCACCACTAGTTCATTTACATTTCAGTTATGTCTCTGTTCTCGTTTTGAAATTGCGTAAATGTGTATTCTTTCCATTCAACAGTCTGAGGGGAGACTGTAGTTTTAGCTTCAGGACAGCGTAGCTCTAAATTGCACTGATGCTCCCTGCAATGTTGCCTGTGTCCACCCCTTTCTTAATGATGGACCACCACTCAACTGTGATGACTCTCAGATCTGTGAAGGCAGATAAGAGCAAAGAAGCTAATGAACTGAAAGTGGAAATGTAAAAGATAAACATTCAAGATTAGTTTTAGTGCAAACAGACCAAAACTGTGGTTGAAGCAGATGCATTGATGTCTTTCAGGGAAAGCCACTGGTCGTGCGAGCCTTCCTAAAGGGAGGCTTCAAGCTCACAAGAAAGAGAATGGAGTTAAAGGGTTGCAGGGCAGGTTTGTGGGCAGGCTTATACAGAATGAGAATGTTTGTCGTGGACTCGGGATGGAAATAGAAGGCCAAAACCAGTGAGGATAAAAAGGCAGATCAAGCATCTGTCACTTTTGCAATTAATTCTTAATTAGGGCAGATCAACATTGTATAAAAAAGTTAGAAAATTATAGCCTAATTTAAGCAGAGGATGGAAACAATATATACAGTTGATTCATGCTCAGAAATGAGGCTATGAAGCCAACTGCTACCTCTCTGTGATTAAAGACGTTCAACAGAAATTGAATTAATCAGTGACTAAAGAGCCCGGGAAAATGGCTTTGCAGTGAGGCTACAGATGAAAGAGATTAGTTCCAATTAAATAGCCTCTGCATGCTCAAAGTAGTTCACAGCCAGCAACTTTTAGTTTTGAAGTGTAAATCCTGTTATTAAGTTGGTGAACACAGGATAAATTTTCCATCTACCAAACAACCCTGCAAACAGCAAATCAAATGAATGGCCAATTATTCTGGTTTTGGCCATGGTGGTTGAGGGAGGAATGTTATCTCTGAATAAGTTGCGGGATCAGTTGTGTGGCCATTTATTGCCCATCTTAAGTCCTTTCATCAGAGCTCGAGATATAGGGGAGGAATAAAGCTGAGATCTTCTTGTGCTGGATTGCAGGAACTCACAGGACAGACAGCAGTCATTGGGAGCTCATGTCCTCAACTATGTGAAGGTGTTTCAATGATGCTTTAAATTTTTATTCACTTCCAGATGTGAGCATCACTGACACAGACAGCATTAATTATCTTTGAGAAACTGGTGATGAGCTAACTTTTTGTTAGCTTTATAACTTGTTTAAGCCATTTCAGAGAACAGTTAAGAATCAACCAGGTGGTAGCATTTTTATCTCTGGGTTAGAAGGTTGCACATTGAAGTCCCAGTTCAGCATTTTGAGCACAAACATTGAGGCTGACACGTCAAAATGTACTACATTTTTGGAGGTGCTGTCTTTGGGATGAGATGTCACCCTGAAGGCCTGTCTGCACACTCAGGTGAACACAAGATCCAACAGCATACTTTCGAGAAAGAGCAGGGAAGTTGTCTGTGTTGTACTCACCAGTATTTGTCTTTAATCAGTTGTGGAACAAATGTAGCTGAGAAATTACATTTTGTTGAAGCATTTTTGTCTAACATTTGTCAAGGCAACTTCCAAGAATACCGATCTAAAGGGAACAATTCTTTTGATATTCTTGTGAAAATGTGCCATTTCTCAGCGTAACAGAATATCTGATTGTTATGACATTGCACGTTGTTCATGGAGCATGCTATGTGCAAATTGACAGCTGCATTATAGCAATGACTATGCTTGGAAAAAGTACTTGATCAGCTGTAAAAGGGGATTGAGATGTCCAGTGATCATGATAGGTACTACAGAAATCTAAGTCTCTTTTATTCTGTCTGTGTTGCTGTGGGTCTGGAATTCTATCCAGGCCAGACCAGAATTTCTTCCCTAAAGGGCATTAGTGAACCAAGAAGTTCTGAAGAAGGGTCACTGGACCCAATACGTGCACTCTTTCTTGCCACAGATACTGCCAGAGCTGCTGAGTTTCTCCTGCAGGTTTTGTTTTTGTCTCCGATTCTATCATCCCAGTTATTTGTTTTGTTTTATGATTTTATGGAAATCAGGAAGCTACATATCCCTATTACTGATACTAGGTCTTAGAATTCTGATTTGCTTCATTCACCGTTGAATTTCCCCAGCTGGCATTGCAGTATTTGAGTTTGAAACCCTAGATCATTGATTCTGGCCTGTGGATTGCTAGCAATACCATAATGCCCTTATTCCTGTTATTGGTTTACTTTAACACAGGATTATAGGATTAGAGTATTGGATAGACCAGTGTGTGTAAGAAAGACCAGCTTCTTCCTCTAAGAGACACCATTGTTTTTTTATTTGTTGGTATGATATGAGCGTTGCTGGCTAAGCCATCACTTATTGCCATTCTGTGACTGTCCAGAGTGGTAGTTAAGAGTCAGCCAAATTGCTGTGAATGTGGAGTCACATATAGGCCTGACCAGTCAAAGAAGGCAGATTACCTTTCCTAAAGGACATGAGTGAACCAGATGAGTTTTTATGACAATTGACAGGTTACATGGTCACCATTAGACTATCTGTTAATTACAGACTTTTTTATTGATCGAAATGTTCGTCAAAAGCACTCATGCCGGAATTGTCTTTTCCACTTCTGAATCTTTGGTGCTCTTGTACCCAAGAGAGCTGTAGAAGCTCAATCGTTGAGCAATAAACACAAACAGGTTTCTGGAGACTAATATCAACAAAGAAAATGGAGATACTGTGGAAAAGTGGCATTGATGGAGATGATCACTATGATCCAATTAAATGGCAGGAGATTCAATAAGATCAAAATTGATGGACTTAATGGCCTTCTCTGTTCCTATCTACATTGTACTAACTCACTTATACCGGTCCTATAGCTGACTCAAGGGCAAAATCAGGTATTAATGAAGTGGAAGATGATTCCTTTCGTGACAGAGTTTTGGTCAGAGACAAAAATGATAAGATTGCGGATTGTAAAGCAAGGGCCCAAGGCAATGGTTTCTGTCCTCCCAGTGTTTCATTCTAGGAACTTGCAACTTAACTGTGAACGTGTTGATTTGAAAGTGATATCAGCATTTTTGAGCATTTTTCAGACACAAGTAAATTTCCAAAATAGCCATGTTGGGATTTGAACCCTTGTCCTCTGCATTATTTGCCTAACCAAGGCAATGGTATCCAAACTACAGTCGTATATTGTGTACAGATGCATGTGAATTGATCACCGTCTGTCTCCTCAGGCATTTGATAGTCTCCAATGTTCCATTTTGAAAAGTCACTTCATTTACATGATGCAGCCAAGCTTTTGAAGTGCTGTATTATGTTTCTTTATTTCAGATGGACTGCTGAGCCAAAAATACCAAAGCTATTGAAGTAATATCATGCAATATAAACTTCTTTTTCCTGGTTAAACATAGTGTTAGCCATAGTGTTGATGTAGGCATGTATATGTGGACAAAAGAAATAGAAGACAATGCTAATAGTTTCAACGTCATTAAATCTATTTTAAATTCGTTTTTCTTGTGCTACAGTACACTTGGTCAAACTAGTATGCAGCATTGCTAAAAAAGTCACATAGCACTTATGTAAATATAGATTTAGACCTCATATTTGCCAGCTGTAAGATGAGTTGGCCATTTTTTTGAGAAAAAGCTGATCCTTCATCTTTTTTGATAGACAAAGAAAAACAAGAAGAAGCCAAAGGCAGACATGAAACAACTGCAGGAGGAGCCACAGAACTGGGCTGAAGGCAAAGAAACTGATGAAGGTTGGTGATGTTAACAACAGTGTACATTGCAACTGTTTTCAAATATCCAGGAGTTTTGTCATTCCCCGTTGCTTCGCTCATGGTATCACCTTTAGCCAATCAGAGTTGACTAGCTGACCAGTCAACACCCTTTTCTTCTGTGGTATAAATTATTATGATTTTGAAATTTTGCATTCTTGTATTTGTCTTGATAAGTACAAGACAGAAAGCTTTAGCAACACGTCTCTTTTCATTCATAAACTAGTTTTTACTGATTCTTGGGATGTGGACACCACCGGCAAGGCCAACATTGATAGTCCTTAAGAAAGTGGTAATGAGCCATAGCCTTCCATTATTGCAGTGCATGTGGTATACAGGTAGTTCCCTTATAACGCGATAGTTCTTGGGTGACCTCGAGCTATAGAAAATCGCTGTAGAGGATTACGTTATAGGGAAATTGCTGTCGAAAATTGCTATACCTGTACAGCAGAAAGTTCATCTTATCCGAATATTGGACACTGTTCATCAGTTGCATTACAACCAATTTGCATTAATGAAACACGTGTTATAGCAGACCTCCCTGTAGGTACGTCCTCCCAGGGTCCAGTAGAGCTGAATTCCAGAGGTGAGCTGAAAGTGACAGCCCTTGACATCAGAGCCACATTTGACCAAATATGGCATCATATTTGGTCTAGCAAAACTCGAATTAATGGAAATCGGGGGGAAATCTAGCAGCTGGCTAAAGTTGTACTTGGCACATAGGAAGATGGTATGGTCGTTGGAGGTCAGTCATCTTGACTCAAGACATCGCTGTAGAAGTTTCTCAGTGTAGGCCGAACCATCTTCAGTGCTTCATTAGTGACCTCCCCTCCACCCTGAGGTCAGAAGTGGGGATTTCACTGATGATTGTACAGTGTTCAGCACCATTCACATCTCCGCAGATGGTAAAGCAGTCCATGTCCAAATGCAGCAAAACCTGGACAATATCCAGGCTTGGACTGAAAAGTGGCAAGTAATGTTCTTGCCGCATAAATGTCAGACAATGGCCACCTTCAATAAGAGGAATCTAACCACTGTCCCTTGACATTCCAAAAAAAAAATCAAAAAACTGCGGATGCTGGAAACCAAAAACAAAAACAGAAATTGCTGGAACAACTCAGTAGGTCTGGCAGCATCTGTGGAGAGAAAGCAGAGCTAATATTCTGGTCCAATGACTGTTCTTCAGAACAGTTCCGTTACTACCTGATTTGGAAATATATCGCTGTTCAGTGTCACTGGGTCACAATTCTGGAATTCCCTCCCTGATGACATTGTGGGTGTCCCTACAGCGGTTCAAGTAGACAGTTCACCACTATCTTCTCAAGAGCATGTAGGGACTAGAAATAAACCAACGACACTCGTGCCATGAGCCGGGGGAAAGAAACTTTCAACCAGAAACAAGTGAAAGAATGGTGGTGTAGTTCTCTTAAGATCATGTGTGACCAGGAAGAAAGCTGGTGGTATTCCCATGCATCTGCTGTCCTTGCTGATTAAAAGCGGTAGAGATTGAAATATGTTATTATTAAAATTCAATTCGAGTTAGCGGATAATCTGAATTACATGTTAACTTTGCTTGCAGTAATCTACTAAAGAATAATTTTTCTGAAGATTTTTTTCAAAAAATAAACTTTGCTTCCTTGCTTGTGGGTGGAAAGAATCTCTGAAAAACTGTTAGTCTAATACTGAGTGCCAGGCTTCACTGAAATGTACAACAGTGCAAAATTTAAGTACAAACTAAAACTTTAGCTGAAGGTCCACAACGGATAAATAAATCAAGATTCCGGAATCTGCTAGCAAAGCAAATAGCAACTGGTTGGTGGAAAAATAATGTCACAGGGAATAACGGTTGCAGTGTTCATACTCAAACCAACGGGATCAAATTGAATTGCATTTGCATGATGCTTACCAAATGCAATCCCAAAGGGTTTATGAGACTGTTACTGAGTCCCTCAGTATTGGATCTTTTTGGTATATGTTCCAACATTTCAGCATTTTCCTTCAATATTTAAGATTAGTATCACTCAACAATTTGTAATGGGGGAAAGCTAAATGAAAGAATTTATTCAACTGCAAAGTACTTGTGTTGAATCTCTCCACACCTTGTTTAGGATTGTACAAAAAGGATGCCTTGTTCGATAAGGGGCTGTTTGCTTTTAACAATTTTGAAACTGAGTCCTGGCAACAGGCTCCAAGGAAAGTTGATTCACGAGCTGATATTTCCTGTATGAAATATTTATTCATCTAGCTTCTACTACTAGTTTAACTAAGAGGGCAAGAATGTTGCTGTATTTTGGAGCAGGAAAGAAAAGGGAGAAATAAAAACCCAAAGAACTGCGGATGCTGTAAATCGGGAACAAAAACAAAGTTGCTGGAAAAGCTCAGCAAGTCTGGCAGCATCTGTGAAGGAAAAAACAGAGTTAACGTTTCGCGTCCGGTGACCCAGAAAAGGGAGAACCTGCATTGTGCTAACAATATTTTTAACTGTGCTTACTGCATTAGCAATTTCTTGATTTCCACCAATTTCTCTTCTGTTGCCCTCCTTCCATATCTGATGATCTTGATATTGTACAGGAGCTGAGTCCAATCCACTAGCTCATCTGCTGTTTATGTGAGCGTGCAGTTCATAAAAGAAATTGCAATTACTGTGTCTTTTGTGACCGCAGGATGTCCCTGCACGAGTCGTTGAGCTACTTTTGAAGTGTAGTGACATTTAAAGATGGAAGTTAATTCATAAAGTTGTTTTCATCTAACAGTAGTGACCAGGAAATCTTTTTCTTTTATGATGTTTGTTGAAGTACAAATATTACTCAAGATACCCAGGACAGACAATAAATAAAAAAATGAAAGATCCGCAAATGCTGGAAATCAGAAACAAAAACAGAAATTGCTGGAAAATCTCATCAGGACTGGCAGCATCTGTGGAGAAAAATTCGAGTTAACGCTTCCTCAGAATTGATGATAGCAAGGAAAAAGTTTTTTTTAATGCAGAATATTGGGTTGGGGGAGGGGTAAGGTGTAAATGATAGGTGAAGATAGAGTGCAAAGAGAGAGAAAAACAGTCATGAGACAAAGGAGTGGATAATGATCACCCTGGGGGAATGAATAACTATTAGCGGACAATTAGTAGCGAATAAAATCCAAAAGAACTGCGGATGCTGTAAGTCAGGAAC